TACCAACTGAAAACATTCCTAAGACTCAGCCAGTAAGGAACACTTCTTACATTTACAGTTCTTTCTCTTCAAACCAGATACTTCCAAACACTTCTACTCACACACCAGCCTTGCAGTGTTGCCTCCCTGCAATCCCATCACCTTGCTCAGCTGGCAGGTTGAAGCAGAGGACTGCTTAACAGGTCTGTGTATTCTATGGAATAGCTGCTGTTTAATATTTTTTTCAAGTAAGTAATATTTTTTGAAAGAAATCATTTTTGTTTCAAATAAAGTAAACTGTGTATCGGTAGCTAACATATTTTGCAACATTCAAATTTATATTAAAAGAAAGGAATGAAAAAAATTCACAACAGATTTCTTACAGTCTGCATTACAGCTTTGATTTTACTTTGAAGTGTCAGACTCTGTGTCACTGGAAGCAGACATTCCCTCGGTGGTATTTGTACGCTGCCGACGCAACAGCCGCTCAACTTGCCAGGCTCTCTCAGCAGAACTCCATTAAGACAAGGAAGACATTTGTATTTTTTATGAAATCTACAGCAAAACTTAACGCATGAGGCCTTTAATCAAGCAGCTACATAATTGTTTAAAAGGAGTTTTACTGCAAACTGATTTGGCTGCATACAGTGACCCAAGGCACCCTGCTCCTGCCAGACCAAGACAGCTTGTCAGCAGGATCTGTCACCTCCAAGCTTTCTACAGCCCCGGCTGGTTAACGCCCAGGGCTGGTGAGAAAGCACGCAGTAATGCTCTGCCGTACGTCACTTCTCTGCTGGGTGCTCAGCATCCTCTCACCGATCGTCTAACACCCTGCTCTGCTAACCATCGCACATGACCCATCTTCCAGCTGACTGACTTGACTGATCTTTATTCATTTGAGGAAGATGATGATGACAACGTAAATGTCACTATTTGAGGCGGGCAACACTACTCATACTGAAAGATTTACATGGGAATTTCCACCCCATTCATGAAGTGCAAGAGGTCTTCCAAAAAAGATCTGAAAAGCTGGCCTCTGGAGAGCTGCCCTCTTCTCCAGCTGACAGTCTTGCTCCTGCCTCTTATTCACACGTGACACACACACTGCACTTGTGTTTCTAAATGTGTGTGTTTCTTAAATCTCTGCAGTATCTCGCAAACACAAACTTTCTTATATGAAAATTACTTTGCTGTCCATCAAACCACTATCACACCTCTCAGAAATTCATTCTTCAGAGATAATGTGATATGGCTGTCATCTTTCTTCTTTTACAGGTGAGCTTGGTGAGAGACAGGCAAGCATGCCGTGTATCTTTTCCTAAATTCAGCAGCAGATCTAGGAGTGGAAGAATCTAGAAATCCTTCTAGCTGCATCTTCAATGGTCTGAATTGTACAAAACATAGCATGAGCACTTGGCAACACTGTCCTTAAAGTTTAAAAGACATAACTTTTGTAGAAAAGCATCCCAACACAGTACTGACTGAGGCAAAAAGTGCAAACCGACATTGCATGTATATTGTAGAAGACTTGGATGTAAAGGAGAAATCTGGGAAACACAAAGGAGCTATAAAACATTTCAGACCTTATTCCTGCAAGTAGGACCATGTGAGAAAATCAGATCAGAGTCTCACTGACTTTGACAGTGCCCGTCCTGGACCAACATGCACTTCCAATCAAAGCAGCAACACATTCATCTCAGTTATTATCTCCCTTCTGTAACTGATGTATTCTTGCATTTAACCAAGCAATTTCCATAAAGTTTTTCCATGTTTTGGAATAAGCCTCTGAAGTCCCTGTCTTCCAGTGAAAGCAATGAGAACTTCTCAAGCTTCAAGAAGCTTGTTACTCTAAAAACCAAAACAATTCTTAGAAAAAACAGCTCAGAAATTGCCTCTGTACCAGGACATGAAATATTGGCATACAAAACCTAATTTTCTTTACTGCTTACTTTAAATAATCGATTTCCAGAAATGCATGTTTTAAAAACAAGGCAGTTTATAAATATATAAAATGTATAAAGTCAAACATTAGCTCAAGTCTTGCATAATTGATACTGCAATACCCTCTTGTGGTCAAATAAAAATGGTTTATCTAAACACCTGCACTTTTTCCTCCATAAAAAAGCCTCCCTAGATGTTTTTTTCCTTTGACAGGCAGAATTAACTCGCATATTTTTCACAGATGAATTTGTAGTGCACACCATCACTTGTCACTTTTGCAACAACGAAAGACTAACGTCAGTCAAGTTCTTCCTCAGAATGACGGGCACCGACACTGCTTGTCAGAGAAACTTCCCAAAACAAATTCCTAAGTGAAAGCACCATCTCCTACAATGACACTCATAACTTTTTTCAGGTTTCATGTCCCCAACCAGAAAAAATAAAGATGCTATAATCAATTTACACAGATACATATGGCATGAAGCCACAATAAACATCAACCTATTCTACTACAGGATGAAAAGAAGTGGACAGTGCATCAGCCTTATCAATTCAAATAAGCTCCCTGCTTAAATGCCCCGAGTTGTTATAATGAACAAATAAAATGCTAAACTGGCAGATGGTAATGTGAGGGGAAACAGTTCAGTATCTGCAGCAGTTCTGCTGAGCTGTTAATCTAGTAAATCGCCTAAATGGGCTACTAGTATATCCAGTAAGGAACCTAGAGTAACGCCCAGAAATGTCATCCTTGCTTGCTTGATATGCTTGATATGCTTTAATGGTGCATAACCGCTCCCTTAATGACTTCTAGTCCCAACAGAAAACGCGATAATTTTCAACATATCAGCTCTTAGTGATCCGTTTTTAGAACAGCAGCTACATTTTAAAGTCATATTATAACACTTTTAAAAACACAACTTAAAGAGCCATGATCCCATTCCCATCTATTATTTCCAGAGAAATGGCTTGAACACTATGAAGTGTCCAATACCTGCATGTAGACTCACAGCTTACTTTTGTTTAAAGACTAAAGAAGTCCTAAACAGTTAAGACTTCCTTCTTTTCTGAGGTTGTGGGGTCTCAGACCAACAGATCTGTCTTTAACCTATGAGTTCACTTTCAGTAAGGTGTTCCGAGAGGCACTTGATGCCCTGCATCAAAACTAGGGCAGTTACAACTCCTGCATCTTTGCAGACACCGCTCAATGGCGCAGACTTTAAACACCTGCTTGTAATCTTTCCATCCAGTTTATTCAGTGGCTGCAAGTAGACCTTTAGAAGCTATGTACTCAGCTCAACTAGCATTTCTTGTTTATTATTACGTTTAATTTGCAGTAATTGACTTGAAGGAAGGATTAGAATTAAAATAACACTTTGTAAACAAGAATTAAAAAGCGTTCCATGCACAGGAACAGACTTCCCATCAGGATCCTTTCCTGACTTGGTCAGGAGCTAAAATCCCATGCACCCTGCTTAATGCATTGGGTCTTCCAAATGTGCCTCAGCTTCCTTTTAAAGCAGTTAGATGCTGCTAAAACCCCATTCTCCAACCAGCTGTACACGCCCCAACCTGAAGAGGACCCAGCAATGAATACAGCAGGACAGGCAGATTCCACAAGAGGAACAGATACAACTATCAGGCCAGGTTGGCAAACAGTTCATTTCTTCAGTCCATGATAATGCTGTGTGGATACATGACTTTTTTGATTGAAAGAGATGAAAAACACTGTTTTCAATTATCAAAAAAACCAAGCAAATAAAAAGTTTACTAAAATTTCATTCAAACTCAAAGCAAACGTGATTTGAGATGGAGTTTACCTCTTCTTAAGTTATGTTATTGCAGTCTTCAAAGTCAGGATAATTTTTCCAAATATAGAAGTATTTCTTGCCCAAATATGTCTACATGAAGTGTTTGGATTGTTGTATAGTTGTAACTATTTTAAAAGAAATTATTTGCCAAATGCAGCATGTATTTCCCAATACTGCAAGCAAGTAAGTTTGCCAAAAAACCCCTAAAAAAGTAGATTCAAAGTTCATTAGCATTTACGAGGAAGATGAAGCAAGAGGCTAGAATTCATCTGGAGCTAATCCAGACTACTCAAAAACAAGTCAGTCAACAATTTCAGAGGAAATTTATACTTAAAATACTCCATTTTCCTGCAAGGTCACAAATACTTGAGGAAGAGATTTCATACCACAGAAGCCGAACAGGCTGACTATAAAGACAAACACTGACATTTTGAACACTGTTTTGAAAACTCTCACTTTGTATACGAGCTAACTTTAAAGTCACTTAAAAACTATTTCTCATAGTTGCTTAATACCTTCTGCAAAAATCCCTAAGTACTTAAAAAGGACTTTTGATGATCTCTGGCTGCTCTTTTTTAAAAATCTGAAAATAAGGAGCTTTCAAAGCACAGATTTGTTGAAATAATACCTTATTTTAAACAAAGAAGCTCTGCCCCAAATACAGTTTAAGGCCCCAGCAGCTGTCCCACTGGGTCTCTGCTCCCTTTCTGGTGAATACTCACAAGTCAGACTCGTTTCCAATGGAGACAGTAAACACACCAGGGAAACCAGCAGCTTTCAGGAGCTTTTGCTCCTGCTACATAACCACAACAAAAGTCCTCCTGATATACTCAGCAGCAATCTCCACAGCACCCTTTGCTACCAAACCAGACTTTATTGCTCTGAGGATTTGGAATAGAGGGTGGTCTCAGCTGCAGGCAGCAGTAATTGTCTCGTAAGCTGACAGTTTGCTGGTTACAGCTGGAGATCCCATGTCTTTCAGTAACAGTCATTTCTTACAAAATTGCTGTTACCATGAAAACTCCTTCAGTGTTCAAGCAACGAAGCAACATAAAGCAGTAGGAAATGACCATTAAATAGGAGGGAAGTAAAACAGTGCCGAGCACTGCCTGTCAGTGCTGCCATGCACGTCCGTTTTCTGAAAGCTCTCCAGATAGAAACTAAAGAAAACATTAGGAAAGAAGGAGATTTGAAAGTGCGAACAATAGCAGGTTTAACCTTCCTAACAGGCACAATATACCTAACAATACTGGGAATACAGTGAGTCTCAAAATGGACAAGTTAGGAAAAGGTTCTGGATTCAGGAGAAATACCTCGGTTAGGTCTTGGCAACCAGCAACCACACCTCTGGCGCAACCAGCCTCAGCTCCATCTGTGTCTCTCAGCAGCACCCAACCCAGAAGACCTGTCGTCGCACAACCGGCTACTCGGGCCTGGGCGGACGAGCAGGCAGCACTGCGGCAGGACCAGGTTCAACAGGACAAGATCTGGAGAGAGTCAGTAGAGGCTGAACAGAGAGGAAGAAAAATCTGGTAAGTCACTTGCTTCAGTTCATGCCTCTTCTACTCATCTTGACTGATGATGGTACTGATGCCTCCTGACAGTCTTAGGGCTTGATCCAAAGCCTACACTATCAAAGGAAATTTTCTTCTGCAAGGACTTTGGATCAGACCCTAACACCTTTCTTTCTAAGATTATATTATCTCTGTTTTCCTTCACTGGACAAAATCTATGCTAATATCTCCAGGCATGCTGGGCTTAAGCTGAAAAGAGATGTTGAGTATATTAGCTTTATAAAGATTTCCACAATGAAGATATAAATGTGCCAACCTTTACCATTTATTGCAGACACACTGATATTGTCACCTTTTCTCATATTCTTGGAAATGGCTAAAATGGAAGCTGAAAAGTGTTCTGCCAAAATACGATTTTGTATTCCCAATCTGTAAATCTACTGAACATGCCCCGTTGTTAGAGTGTTTCAGACTGAATTGCACACATGCAACCTAAGCTTTGACTATGTATACACCAGTGACCTGAAGGAAACTGAAATTAAGATCTTCTCTGTCTCTGCCACATATCTTGACTAAGTGTTTATGTTCATACTTCACTACACAGCATGAGCATGCCTATTAGAAGAATATCCTTGGTAAAAGTAAAATGAGATCCAGTTCCGACTGCACACTAGCTAATCTAAAGGAAAGGGAGGAGAAAGAAGAACATCACTCGGGACTTTTTAGAATGGGAAAAGAAATTACCTGAAAACCCCTGTCCTCCTCAGCCTTCTGGAGGAGATACAAATCACAGCTCTGACTTCCCCAGAGACATGTTTGCACTCTTGTCTGGCTCCTTTTACCTGCGGGAGAGACTGACGCCAGGACTCTGACTCATGCAAAGCCAGGGCTGTGGTGGCAATGTTACCCTCTCCAGTTGTGCACTCAGACTCTTCCCAAACAGGCCCAGCATGTTCCATACCCATTCCCTACCAAAGACAGCAGAAGGGACTCTCTGTCTGTGCCTGACTCCCTGGGGTTCACAGTCATGGATAGTGCTGCAAACTCACTTTCATGCGTAAGGTAACACATCATACAGCTGATGCATGTCCTGCTGTCCAGTCTTAGCTACAAAGACAGAAACTCTCGTAAAAGGGTAGGACAGACATGTGAAGGACAGATGCCTAAAGCTGGATTCATCAGACTACGTATGCTACAGCCTGCAGAGAACTGTCCTTCAGCTCCACCTCCCCATCCCAAACACAATGATGGGGAAAGGCTGCTACGGGTTGGTGCTCTGACCTGAAGGCAAATGCCTGAGGCCCAAGCATGTCTCAGTGATCAGCACCATCCTGTAACACCCAAAGCTGATATGTTCACATAGTGGCTGCCATAGAAAGATAAAAAAATTTAGGACCTCTATGCTGCGCTGATATACCAAGACATACAGTGATAAACACAACAATTATAAAATAGCTTTTATTTGCACTTAGGGCATATCTGCACTGGACAGGAGAGTGCGGCACAGAAATCCACATGGTACATGGCTGTGCTGTACGGACGAGCTCAACTCGGAAGGATGCACAGCTTCAGCACTAGATCAATAAGCTTAGATGCAGCACTGCGTAGACACAGGTAAATAGCTCAGAGAGTCAGCCCAGGTGTCCCCTGAGCCCTGCTGCAAATACAGCTGTAGATAACTATTTCCTCTCTTGACCTCACAGCACTTTTACAATAGCAAATGAACTTTCATTTTCTCCATTCCAGGCCAGGGAAAGCAAAGGACAAAATCAAAGGTCTTGCCCTTTAGTCTCACACCAGGTATAGAACATAACTGAAGAGCAAAACTCAGGTCTTTTGACTCCTCAATTTGCTCCTAGCACAGCTGCCTACCTGCACAAAATACTCCTGTGGGTTTTTGCCTGCAGCAAACACGGCTCTGGGAATTCCTATCAGGGACTTCTGCCAGCAGAATATCAGTCATTTAAAAAATAAGAAGCTGTGTCTAACTCAAGGCATGGGACAAAAGTTTGCTATAGTGACTGTTAATTTACCTGCATTTGCAGAAGGAATAATTGTGGACAGGCTATCCTCATCCTCCTTTAGCAAAAAACCCCCACTCCTCATCTTGTATGGGCTCTACATGGGAATAAAGAAAACCCTGGGCTTCACCACAGAAATGACAGGCTTCAGTACGAAGAGTTTGCAGGGGTAAGAGCTGAGCTCCAAGTATCAAACTGAGCAGTTAAACAGGCATTCAAATATGACCAGCATTAATGATTTCATTTAAAGACACAAAATTTTACACTGCATTTTTTTCTTCTATTCCAAGGTACCAGAACTGGAGTTTCCTAAAGGACTACGACCAAATGGTAAGTTTCAAACAAGCATCTAACTGTAATCCAGGCTCTTTTCAATTGTCATCAATTTGAACGAGGCTAATATTTCAAATTGGAGCATACTTAGGCATAATCGGCAAATGCTTTAAGACTAAAATCTTTAGGAAAAATAGAACTGAAGTGCCTTTAATCTGATACCTACGCCGCATAGACATACTGTACATGCATGTGTTCAATCTATTTCAATATTAACAACTCCATAGAAAGACAAGTGCTAGAAGAACCAACTTCCTAGGAGAACATTTGTAAGATAGTGTCATCACGCTGAAATCCAAGCCACTTACTAAAAACAAAACAAAAAACCTTCCACATTGCAACCATTCTAGAGCAGGCTAACTTCTGTCCCAGCTGACATTTTATGCTATTTATATGAAAATTATTCATTTCCCTGTGTTATCCTATTCCCATGTAAGACAACAGGAAAAAACAATCATCTTACTTTATTTCTTCAACACTTCCATGTACGTTCAGTATGACATTTTTAAGTACACTCAAATTCTAATTTCAAAAGCAAAAGTGCTGATATTAATAACAATCTCAGTAACTTCTATTTTTGTAACAAGCAACGGATGTAATTCTGAAAATTTATTAATGCTCTATGTTTTATCCAGGGTAAGAAAAAGGAGCAGAAGCCACTGCCAAACTATATGCCTGTGTTCTCAAGCAAAGTTCCCAACTCGACCAACCAGACCATTGGCAGCCGAATGAATACTGAACTTGGCAGGGCTCTGGTAAACATGGATTACTTCTTCAGCAGTGGAGCACGAAAGAGGAAACTTGAGCATGAGCTCCAGCTTTCCTAATGCTTCAGCAAAAATATAATAATAACAAAGCAAGTTGAATGGTTCTAGCCAACAGACTCCACAGCATGTAAAAAATTCCTCAATCTTTTTCTCAGAGAGACAAATACTACCATCTAGCATGGACTGTTTTTCAAGAACAAAGACAGATGTCCAGCAATGCCATAGGAGACAATCCTCTCTGTATTGGGGTGACTGGGCCATATACAGAGAGTTAGCACTGCAGATCTCATCAATCTTCCCATGCAAACCTACAGTAAGGTTGCCACTGACATCAGAAAGAACAAGATTACAGCCAAAAGGCAATTTCTTCCTGAATTTTTATCACCTGAAAATAAACATTTAAAGAGACCTGCTGAGACGAGTCCTAACATAAACAACATACTTTCAATTCTGAAAGTCAGCACAATAAAATGCAGCAGCTTGTTGCATTTCATGTAGTTAGCCAAGGATTCATCAGCCTTTGTCATTTGCATGTTTAAGCTTGCTCTAAAGAATAAAATTTAAGGCAAGTGAGATGTGTTCTATGCTTTTTCACCCCTCCCTGCTGAGGGAGGGAGACAAAATTTTTTCACACTAGTTTTCATTTTTGTTTCTTTAGATTTGCTGCTCTCAAATTCCCTTCTCTTACTCTTCTTTTCTGGTTTAGCTGATGGAAACTCACTGACAAGGAAGCAGGCTTTCACATCTTGCTCTGAAGGCGTGTTGGCTCAGCAATCTGTCTTACACTCTTAGGATAATTAATTTTTAATTTAACAGGTTCATAGTTCCTAAAATCTGTCATTGCTCAGGGAAACCATCAAGCTAAACTGACAAAATACCTAAAGCCTGTTCACTACTGCACCTTCATTACATAGACGTAAACTTTGTTTATGACCTGTTGTTCTGTAGGAAAAAGCAGTAATCAGCAGAGCATGAATAGTGTACATACAATACCGGCCTTTTGAATTGTATGTAGCTTCTGTAGGACCATGCTCAGTCCTAGGTGGAGGTCAACATAGCAGCCATTAGCATTGCCTTGATACAATAGCCTGTCCACCAGACTGAGGTGGACATGTGCATACTTACACTTTGCAACTAAGGATATCTGGTTTTATGATTAGACTTCAGCAGCAGAAGGCAGTTCAAAAGCACAAGAGGTGGTATGGAACAGTATGATCACTGTCAATGTCCAAGTGGTGTCTGAAAAAAAGAAAAAGACACTGTAGAAAGAAGAGCCAAATCCCACTCACTGAAGTCATGGTACCAAGCAGTTCTCCTCCTGGTTTCCTCGATGTAGCAAGCACTGGAGGATTAAGGCTTTCAAGATGACAGCTAAGCTACCTAGACAGGGAGGAAGATCACATCATGCAATCAGCCCAGGTGAGGAGGGCTGATTCCACTCTGTGCAGACATGAATTGTGGTGGACAACTGTCTTCAGACACACCAAATGGGAACCTACTCTTAAAAAAGACATCTTCTTGTTCAGCTAAAATGCTCTCTGCTCTCTCCTGTGAGCGGAAAACTGCACCAGGAACTGGTTTATCTTCAAACATCTGAAAGAGGGAGAGGAGAGAGCAGATCAAGCCTTTCCTCATCCCTATGTTGTCCAGAGCTTCTTCCAAAAACTGCACAGGCCACTCAGAGGATACATATTTATTGGTGATTGCATAATCCTGAAAAGTCGTTACACTTGCATGCCTTACTCTGAGACATACTGAGCAGCCCCAACTCTTGTTATGGGTCACAAACTCTATACTGAGTGTCAGATGTCCAGTATCTGTATTCCTGTAAGAACTTTTCATTCATAAAGCACAGGGGGTTTGTTTTTCAGCATGAAAGCGTATAAAGCTCCATGTTTCCTAACCTCCAGATGGCACTCACTCCACACCAAGTAATCCACTGAAAAGGACGCTAAATTATAGTAAGGCAGTGTTACACAATTCCTTTTTAATTTCAAGGGACATTAGATAATTCCAGATTCTTGACTCCATTTGCTGCGTGTGTGTCCACAGAATCCCTCTCCCAGAGAGCTTCTGCAAACTGGAGGGTACAGGAAGCAGGATGGTCTAAGCAGTGCACGATTTAATCCTTCCAATTCACGTAGCACTGGCATTATTTCAGCTGAAGCACTTCTCCCAGTTTTGGACAAGACCTTCCATGTCTGACCCTGAAGATGCAGGTCACTAAGCAGAGTCTAGAGAAGCAACAATGGTAACCGTAGTACAGGAAGATATGGCTTGTGAGGAAAGATTAAAAAAGACTGTTAAAGTTTAACCTGAAGAAGAAAAAGCAGTCTGGGAAGAGGACAGCAGTCTTTAGATACGTGTATAGCTCCCGAATGAGAAAAGGAATCATTTTTACTTCATGTGAGTGGAGGACAATAGTAAAAATAACAGGCGTAATTATAGCAAGGAAGAATCACATTAATGTTTTGGGAAGCTAGAGGTAAGGCTAATACAGCACAGGAACAGATTGCCTGAGGAATCTCCAGCTTTGAAGGTTAAACACACACATCCATCAGGAATGACGTATTTAATAGGGTTTGTCTTTTAGTCTATAAATTGAATGACCTTCTGAAGAGCTTTTTACCAATTCTCCGATCTACACCAGAGTTGCGGGGATCAGAACACACTTTGCAAACATGATTTTTCAAACACATTCAAAAATAACTTTTAAAAAATCCTATTTCAATTACAGCAGGTTTAAATAGATTGCACCTCTAAGATACAGATTAATCACCTAATTTTTTTGATAAAAAATATATTTCTAATTCTTCTAACTACTCATATAGAAAATGCTTTTCACAGGGTCTAGACATGCCTCTTTTAATCACACACACCTGAGAGTGGGATTGAGTAGCGCCCTCCTGACAGCCACGTAAGAATCCATCTCAAAGAGCACATTCATGTCATTATGTCACGTGTATGAATGGCAGTAACTAATTTTCTTTCAACAATTTCAGGAAGCTTTTACTAATGAGATGTAGTCCTGATCATGTCCTTAATCAGATAAAGCACCCACTGAGATGCCAGGAGGTTCCTGCAGTGGGTACTTGAGTGATGACATGTATACAGCACAGTGAGAGCCTTATACACCCCTGCACTCCTCCTCAGCTGTACTTCTTTGCACGGGTCACTTCAGTCCAACAGATCACAACAGGAAAGTCTGTAAGTTTATCTGAAGTGGAGCCAAAATATGCAAGGATTTTTGGCTTGATCATCAAAGTGTGCAACCTTGGAAAATGTATCTCTGTGTCTTGTTGCAAGACCACAGCAACCCACAACAGCACTGCCTCTTTTGATGTGGAATTAATACCTTGACTTTCTGATTAAGACAATTGAAATGACTCTAAAATACCGGTGGGCAACAACTGTACAGGAGTATCTCTGTTCACCCCCAAAACTCCAGCTCATTCCTTTCCTGTTGAAATCAGTAGCAACTCTTAAGCACTTGACATCTTAATGACTATCTCTAAGAGAAAAGTGACTGTCTAGGGAAAAAAAAAGCTTCCCATGTGGAATAGATCTGATAATCCATGTGATACGGGAACATTGTGTTAAACTGGACACGTTATCTTGTTCAATTACTACACTTTCCTTAGAAATGCAACTTATTTTATGCTGCTGCAGTTAGCCCTCGTCTGGTACCCCGCGTTATGTTTCTGAAGTTAGTTTGGATCTCTCTGCCAGGTACAGTAACCTTCAGAAAAGACCTTTCGGGAATATCCAAGGTCCTAATCAAAACTGCCTTAGCATCTGCGAGTAGAAGGCAGCAAACAGATATCCTCTACACGCCATTTTCATCCCAAGTTTAACAATCATTTTTCTTTTAACATAATTAACTTTCTCAACTAATCCTTATTTACATAAGCAGAGTCTCTTAGAAAGAATGGATGAGATGATAAGAGCATTGAAATCTGTAAATAATCAGTGGAAATTCAATTTATTAAAGAGATTGTGTAGATATTAAACTGTGTTGTAAACTTCTTCTAGAGTTCTTATGATGTATCACTTCTGCTTCAGTTTTATAAGCTTTTTTCCCTTTTGCTGCCAGATCTCAAACAAGACATTATACATGTTTAGTCTAGACAATTCATTTTTCTGTATTTCTTTCAGCTAAAGAGCACAAGTGGGTAGCTATAGTAATTTAATTCTTCAGTTAGATACACTGCTTTCTCTGGTAGACTTTTGAGGATTGTTAATATTAATTGTAACTTGGTGCGCAGATGTTTCCATTGCCTCTAAATTTTGCGTGTTCTCATTTTGAGTTCCGCTCATAATAAAAAAGTGTGAAATATATTTTTTAACAAAACTTAACATACATAGTTAAACATAACTAGTTAAAGATGTCCCTGCTCATTGCGGGGATGGGGGGAGGTGGACTAGATGACCTTTAAAGGTCCCTTCCAACCCAAATTATTCTATGGTAACTCAATGTGTTTTCCTACAAAGGGGGTCTCATCATGCTGTGAAAATGACTACATAAACAGTAAGATTCCTAGAATAGGGAAGGGAAAGTATAATTATGTATGAGCATTGGATGGTTAATACTGCCAGTCCAGGCATTATATGCGTGTATGTATTATGTACGTACACATTCATGTTGTTTGCTTTCTATGAAGAACACTCTATAGAACAAACTTTCTGAAGTTCATCTTAAAGCAGACAATAGTTTCCTGAAGTATTTTTTGGTTTGTTGGTTTTAGAAATCAACAGTAATTTGTTAGGGCCTTAAGCTGCTTTTCCTAAATCCTGCCCTGACAGAAACCAGTAAACCACTTAAATGTCTCTACTTGCCACTCTGAATCCATGTCAGGTATGCTTCTCTCTCTTCAGAAAACTTCATATTTGCTTGGATGAATTCCTTGAAACACGGATGTTTCTCCAAGAAACTCAGAAATTCTGCCAAAGGCTGAAGAGGTGTTTGCACAGTTCTCTCAATCACAGGCCTGCCCACAGCGCTCTTCTGTCAGAGGGCACAGATGCCATAGACTGACTTCAGCTTGTAACCTTCTCAAAGC